TTTGTGTGCTTCCGGCCCGCCCCCCCCCCCCCCCCCCCCCCCGCCCCCCCCGCCCCCCCCCCCCCCCCCCCCCCCCCCCCCCCCCCCCACGCAAAGGAAAAGACACGACGCAGCAATGAGGGAGACTTTTGTATTAATGATGCATGATCGTAAGATCGAGATAGACGCATTTATATACTCGTGTAAGACGGATTATTATATAATCTAACTAGTCCAACAGTATTGTCCAGCCGTGTAATAGTAGTAAATTCGGGCTATTGCAGGGGTACCTTCTAGGTTAATAGGGGGTAGGTTGCTAATAATAATTAAAATAGTATAGAAACATGGTGCGGTGTAAACCTTAGGCTTTTGTGTTGCCCGGGGGGCAACCTCTAGTATACAAGAGGTGGTTCCAACAATGATGCTATCCGAATATACGCTTATTGCCTTGCGTTATCTCTCATATGAATCATTGATATACACCTCTAGGTCCGAACTGAAGAAAATAAGGAGACGGAGATAAACTTCTTCAATAAATCAGGCTCTACGGACCAGAGCTGACGAGCAACGGCACACCCGGCTCCGTGCCGCTATCGAAACTGCACACGTTGGCGCAATGGCCGTACTGCGAGGGCTCGGCCGTGTTGTTGTATATGATTTCGATCCATTGGATCTGCATCTGCGCGCTCTGTCCCTCGGCCATGGCGCCGCTCCAGCTGCCGCCGTCGGACCAGGCGTTGAACAGGATCGTGGCCGGGTCGGCGGGCGCTTGGAACGAGTTCGCGTTCACCAGCTCGCCGTCGACGTACCAGCTGCTGGTGCCGGGCGTCCAGTCGTACCGGTGCGTGCGCCACGAGGTCCAGGGGCCGGGGATGGTGATCTCGTGCGTGGCGTTGGGCCGCGTGATGCCGTCGACGGTGGACGGCTGGTTCGTGTAGTGCACTAGGTTCGAAGGGTCCGAAGTTAGGATCTCGAGGTCGGCTTCCTGGACGTCGGCGTCGGTGGCTCCGCCCCGGTACGTGAACATGGCTGCTACGGCGCCGGCGGCCCCGAGCGTTCGCGAGTACATGCGCATCGAGAGGTATTGGTAGTTGGGCGAGATGGACTGGATCTCGGCCGAGGACTGGAAGTCGCCGGCGGGGTGGCGGTACGTGCGCAGGGTGAGGTAAGTGCTGGAGGCCGGGTTGGCGTCCGTGTTGCTCTCGATGTAGACATCGTTCTTGGAGTAGGTGTTGTAGACGGCGCCGGCGTCGACCCAGCTCTGTATGGACCAGGTGTCGGTGAAGTTGGTGCTGTCGAAGTAGGCGTTGGCCACCGGGGCGTTGGTAGAGCCGTCGCGGTCGTCGATGGGCGGGGGGACTTGCGGGTTCGCTATGTTGCGGAAGTCGAAGAACTTGTGGTTCGCGAAGTACTCGGGCGACGAACCGTCGGTGAGGTAGCAGTGGCAGTTGGGGGTTGCGGCGGCTGCTTGGGGGGCTAGGGACGATAGTATCGTTAGGACGGCTGCCCGGAGGTGAGTCTGAGAAGCAATCATGGTTTCCTTGGGATTCTTGTGTGTTGCCTCGGGGAGAAATATGTGCGGAGTTACTAATTAAGGGGAAATTGAATGCCTAGGAATGTTGGGAGGAATGCTCGAGGTTGTTAATATATCCTATCCCTGGAACAGCCATCTTGAGACTCCTATATAATTTGCTCCCTGGCCCACGACAGCCATCCCCTTGCAGTAGGTCCATCATATCAGTGACGTCCATTAGACCGATGACCCTGCCCTGGGAACTAGATCGAAGAAATTTGGAAGCAGAAGACAAACTAGCCTGATCTGACCTACCTAACTACGACACCGGTAGCTACATCCTGCGACTTCAGAGCCTCCCTTTCGCTCTAGTTGATGACATATGTGCTTTTCGTGCAGAGATCGGAGGGACGACGCAGGACGCGAGTTAATCGTTGTGGCTACCGGGCACGAATATCATGGCTAATACCGGCGCGCTAGAGATAACTCGTAAAATGGCTGTAGCGCTGACTTTAGTTTCTCCATGTCTGCGAGTAGGAGGTCTGGCTTCAAATTATCATAGGATACCTACCCCTGTCTGACCATCACCTGGTGGGCTGTTTCTTACGGCACGGAGGGATTGTTGGTGTTAAGAGATACCCACATTCAATGACGAGCGGCACATAGCAGAAGACGCTTATACTGTATCTATTCATCATACAAAAAGCTACATGAAGATATACCTATGCGCTAGTTCGCGTGAAACCGATTCTGCTTGAATCCTTCGTCGGCTGTTCCCTTCAGAGATATCCCTCCCTACCCCTGTCTTTCATGGCTTAAATAGGCTGCCGTGGATCGCATCCCAGACACCCGGTTGCGATACCCGCTGCGGCCAATTGCGTAGGGCTAGGCAACGTTACTTCGAGCGAAATGATGCCGGTTTTAGAATATTATGACCTGCCGTACCGGGCCATACGCAGGGCTTTTTTGCAATATATCAATTTGGCCCCCCGGCTAGGAGTAATAATATCACTCGACTACGCACTTACACGTGATTGAAATTCCTCTAGAAGAACGCTGCTAGAAGGGTTACTCTTGAGTCTTGGCTACGGATATGCCTAAGTAGCAGGCGGCTTATGCTTGGGGACTGTATATTTCTCCTACTATCGTGATATCGTGACTCGTGGCTCGTCAAACGTCAAGGGCTTCTCGGCAACAGCACTAAGGAGGGATGATGAAGGAGTTACTAAGAATCCAAGCGTCGGAGTCTTTTCTCATTACCTAAGAAAGCCCTTCGCTAAGCCTTGAGGTGAAAAGAAAGACGCCGGGTTGCAAATCTAACGCGGCCTTAGTTGGAGAGCGGTAGTTTGGTTATTTTAGACTACGGGCTCTAAGAACAGCTACTTAGTTGGTCGAGGGTGTGAATTTTTGGTAGGAATTGCCACTTAAGACAGCCTCAAGTGGCGAATTATTAACTTCGTGTGCCTGGATACGGTAAGAAGATCGAGACTTATAACCAATGATCCGTGTTAAGATTGGGTTTGCACAGATCGTATTATCAGAAAGGGGATCCAAGATGCCTTATAGATAGGTTGCGGGCTTAGCAACTATGGACCTTGGATATTTAGCCTTCATATTCATAATAGAAGTAGGAGAAAAGTCGTAGAACGAACTCTAGAATAATATTAGGTAAAGTGCTAATATGCCTAAGGTCTACCTTCTATGAATATGAAGAGTAAAAGCAAGCACTAATATGTGTGTGCTGAAATTATAGTAAATGTTATCTTTGAAAAGGAAGACTTCGAGGAGAAACATTAAAAGTTTTCCACGCGATTAGTGAAATTAGGTATATGCTTCCTACAAGATATTATCTTGTAAAATACGACTACATACTCGCATATTTTAACTTAAAATTCATCGGAGCCTATTATCATGCCTGCGAGGATTCGTGTCAGCCTTAGTGTGTCTTCTCACTAGGTACTGCAGGTAATGAACTATATGCGGATGCGGGAATCAAAAATTTGACTTAGCTCTTTAAGATTATCGCTACCGCATCTCCAGTTCTATGCGGTACTATACAACTCTAGAGGTAACAAAGAAACACTCATCTTGATCCACTTGGAGGTAGCTTTTGCCGACCCGCACGTGTTGGTGCTATTCAAATTTCAAGTCTGTCTATATGCTATACCTCGTTCTCTCTATGGTTAATTGGATCTATCTGGTACCGACTAGATTTATGTATATACATAAGTTGCGTAGGTCGAGCCTCATAACTCGCTCACCACCTCAGATAATGAGAATTTTCCTTGCTGGGAATAGGGGAGGAAGCAAAAGTGCTTCAGCCGAAGGCACATGTCATAGTCTTATTTGATAAAATCTTGTAATGGTGGACAGGTATCATATAAGCTAGTTCATTATTTAATATCTATAACAGAAATTGTGCCCGGCCTTAGTATGTTTCCTCTAATTGCGCTATGCAATGGTAGATAGTGTGTCACGATTCTAGATGAGGCATCTAGAACAAAGGACATGTTTACTTAAACTAATACAGTTCTAATATTCTAGATCTATATGATACACTATAGATAATAAAATTTACCTAAATTAAAATGTGGCTTTCAGTTAAAAGGCTTATAGTATTTAACTGGTGGCTAAGCGCGCAAGTAATTCAATATTTTATACTTCATTAACCAAAGCTTTATACCAATAAGGCTCTGTATATAAAGTGCTGTTATAATATGCTCAATAATGTTTATCTCATATTCTTTGTCGGGATATCGATTGAGTTCTAGGTAAACCAACATGTTACCAGGTACAAGCGTTGCTAGCAAGTCAATAATCTGAACCGCCAGTTCTGCAGCGCCGGGGCGGTATTAAGTAGAGCGGTAAGGGAACTGTAAGTTAATTTGGGATTGGAGATATCTGAAGCCGAGCCGATACACGACATATTTTATAATCCCGATTCGCTAGCACGCCATACAGCCGCCGGATAACGTCTATCTGTCACCTATGTCTAACACGGATTATCTCTTATGTTTAACCACGATAAAAAAGGAAAAGGGGCTCTTAGAGTATATAGATATACCTAACCTACCTAGGGTCCGAAATGAGCATATAAGAACAAAAAAATAAAAAATGGCGGACCTCTCCTCCCTGCTTGAAGCTCGGTACGGTACCACCAGTAGCGGCAGCGCTGCTCCTACCGCGGCCCCCGTCGCCGCGAACCCAACCCTCGAAACTCTGCTGCAGCACAAATCCGTCCGCAATTTTCTCCCGGACCCCCTAGCCCCAGGCACTCTCGAGCTCCTCACGGCCGCGGCCCAAAGCGCCGCTACATCGTCCAACCTGCAACCCTGGAGCGCCGTCGCCATCACCACGCCCTCCCTCAAGTCCCAAGCCGCCACGCTATGCGGCGACCAAGCGTTCATCCGCGCCGCGCCGCTGCTCCTCGTCTTCTGCGCGGACCTCGCGCGCCTAACCACCACGTGCGCGCAGCACGGCACTCCCGGGACCGGCCTAGAGTTCATCGAGATGTACACCATGGCCACGATCGACGCATCCCTCGCCGCGCAGAACGCGTGCGTGGCCGCCGAGTCCCTCGGGCTGGGCACGTGCTACGTAGGCGCGGCGCGCAACCGGCCGAGGGAACTAGCGTCCCTGCTTTCCTTGCCGCCGCGCGTAGTCGCGCTATTCGGGCTGGCGGTCGGGTGGCCGGACCCGGGAGCGCCGCCGGCGACGGTCAAGCCGCGGCTGGCGCAGGATGAGGTGGTGCATCGGGAGACGTGGGGCCAGCAGCAACAGCAGGAAAAGGCGGCGAATCTAGCGGCGTACGACAAGGCGCTGGCCGACTTTAATGAGAAGCAGGGGCGCGGCGATGCGCCGGTGTGGACTTATCGGTCGGCGCATCGCATAGCAACGGTAGAGTCGTTGCATGGAAGAGATATCTTCCGCGAAGTGCTAGAGGAGCGAGGGTTTGAGCTTCGATAGGGTATGGACGAGGTAAAGGATGTTGGTAAGCAATTACGCTCAATATATAGATTAACTGAATAGATTCCTGACAGTTATCACCATAATTTGGACATGGAGTCGTAACTATTTCATCACATTTTAGGTAGCGATGAGGGACAAAGACTACGAATACGAAGCCCCTGAGTTGCATTCACAATCTGTCTACGTCGAGGAAGTGACTATATCTCATCATTAATATGCTATACTTCTGCTTTCTCGCGCCTTGCTTGCTTCTTGATTCATGCCAGAGATCCGCCCTCGATTACTTTCATTTGTACGACCGCTTCCAGGAGACTCGTTTCGATCCTCCAACCGGAAATCTTTTTCCAATTACTATTATTATTCATTTTTTATCATACAATCTTCAGTCTATATTTATAATCTACCTAGGTTATTATACTCTCTTATTGCTTAAGCTGGTCTTTCAAGCATCCCCTTAAGGGAAGTTATGGGAGGTTAGTTGAAGGAGTATATAACTTATCGACCGCGTGTTACACAGTTAGCTGACTGGAAATGTGTAATTTCTCTTGAGTAATAACTAAACGATATCAATATTATAGAATGTGACATTAACATAATGTGGCTAGCCTACCTCTCTCAAACGTATACCCCCAACTAAATCCATCGGTCTGGCCATACGATTATAAATCAAAAACCGACCGATACTGATTTCTTTATGCCTACTATATATAAGATTGGGGTTGGAATGGGGAGTGTACCCGGCCGGCACCGGCCCAATAGCTATTGCGTGATTCTGAAGCAGTTGTCGCCATCGGCGTTGCTACCGGTACATCCGTATAAAACACCATACCCGTGAGTATTTCTTAGATCTTATCTGATCTCTAGAATACTGGAATCTCCGGACGTAATAATCAAGATGCCTACAGAATTCATCAGTTTGACGTTCCCGAACCCATCCACGGAGCTTAACCCGCTCCCGAACCCGGCTATCGACCCGGACTTCTTGGAACGGTATGCCCGCAACCTGGATGATTATGAGTTCAACTATACTCTTGTGCCGTACGACTCGTCGTACTTTGACCCTTTCACTACCGGCGCTACTATCGCCGCTGTGACTAAGAATCTAAAAGTTATTATTGCGCTTCGTCCAAACACATTATACCCTACGGTAGCGGCCAAGGCGCTAGCCACTCTGGATCAGCTAAGCCGGGGCCGAGCCGTAGTGCACTTCATCGCCGGCGGCAGTGACGTCGACCAAGCAAGGGAGGGTGACTTCCTGAACAAGGAAGAGCGCTATGCTCGACTTGAAGAGTACATCAAGATCTTAAAGCGCGCATGGCAGTCCGCGGATCCCTTTGATTGGGACGGCAAGTATTATCAGTTTAAGGGGTTCAGCAACAGGGTGCGTCCCGTGAACGGAACCAGTATCCCTATTTCCGTGGGTGGATCGTCAGACGAGGCGTACCGCATCGGCGGAAGCCTAGCGGATATTTTTGGTCTCTGGGGAGAACCTCTGAAGGAAACCAAGGAGCAAATCGACCGCATCTACGCCGAGGCCGAGAAGGCGGGACGCACTGACCGGCCCCGCATCTGGGTTACGTTCCGACCCATCGTCGCCGAGACGGAAGAGCTAGCGTGGGCTAAGGCGCATCGCATACTCGACGCCCTAAACGCCAACCGGGCCGACGGCAAGAGCCGAGTACCGGCCGCGGCACCTCCGCCGCAGAACGTTGGTTCGCAGCGGCTCCTCGACATCGCGAAGCGCGGCGAGGTGCAGGACCGTGCGCTGTGGTATCCGACTGTGACGGCTACTAACGCGCGCGGCGCATCGACAGCGCTTGTGGGGTCGGTGCAGACGATAGTCGACTCGCTCCTTGACTACGTTGACTTAGGGGCTGAGCTCATTTCCATCCGTGGTTATGATAATCTAAACGATGCCATTGACTACGGGCGTTACGTGTTACCTAAGGTACGCGAAACGCTAAAGGAAAGGGAGAGTCGCTCCAATGGAGCTAATTGATAGTGGAAGAATATCTTAATATATCATGATGATATAACTGTTACTATTGCCATTCCCTTAAAGCCCACTTGCGAATTCTGAACCCTGAGAGGGTTAAGTGACAAGTATCTTTGTAGGCACCTAGCTACATACCTACCTAGGTACCTACCTACCTGTTTATAGCTCTCTATCATAGATATCGGCATTGCATTGATAAATAACCGTGTGTAGAGACATCTCCTTCATAGGAGTAATTATGGTCCAAGTGTTAAGGTTGCTTATAGCAACCTACGATAAGACCTTGTAGCCTTAGCACACCGCCGCGCTGTATTTGCGTATATTAGTATTTCTTCATCCTAGACCAGAGCCGAATACATACCCTGATACGAGTGACTAATGGTGATGTTCATCGTTTGTACCACTAGGATTGACGTTCCCAAGCCTAAACCCATCCTCGATAGAATGCTCTGAAGAGTTCCGCCGTTACTACATACCGCTCGACATAATGCGTGCCTAGGCTATTGGATAAACGGCTTACCTGGTTTGTGGTGCTTCAGAGAGTAGCGGCGATAAAACTCCCAAACGGCCATAGCCGTAGTCAAGAGTGATAATGTCATACTGACGATGGCTATAATAGATTCAATGGAAGGCGCCATAAGGGGAGATACACAATATGAGTGTAACGAGCTGTAGGCTTTCGACACAAAAAGAAAATGATTTACTGTTGAATTATTTCTGTTCTGGGAGAGCATAGGGGCATGGAAGGGTTGGTATCAGTGCTTTATGGTAAAAGAACCCTTTCCCATGAGCCTTCCATATAGGGTTTATTGGCAGGATGTGAAATGGGAGAGAACCTGATAATAGCCATCACAGTATACCTATCCCCTTTATCGTCTAGACTTAATATCTTGACAACGCAAATACTTAGGGCGTAAATAACGTATTTCCTAGTTCATGGTGATTGAGGGTTCTGGTCAAAATGTTAAGCACCACCAAGTAAGACTGACATTTAGACGTTAGCCAATGATTATTTGGCATCCCGATGTATGAGGCTGAGCACACGTAGCCCTGTAGTCCCGTATAGAGTATCTTCTCAGATAGTGCTACACAAACGCCCCCTCTATGCAATAGTCTTTTGGAAATCCGGGTTTAATAGTGGAACCCTATACTGACATGTTTGACGCCGATTGATCCACGGAGAGCATCTCCTGCATAAATTGCAATAATTCAAATTGGGCGCAGCACTGCCTTAGACATGCCTGATATAAGTGGTTAGCATTTTCCCATCGCAAAATGTTACAGAGTCCTGACCTCTTGGCAGCAAAATTGTATTAACCAATCAGGAGTTGACGTAACTGTAGGCTGAAGCAGTCGTGTGTTCTGATCGCCATCTTACCTTAGCTCGAGTGTCTATATATACCTAAGTACCTAACAAGAGGTAATGTCTGATAGTGCCAGTTATCTATCATTGACAGTTACTATATACTTTACCTTACCCTATTTTATTCAATATCGCCCGCCGAACTACGATGCCCTCTAAAATCACAGAGGCCGAATGGGCCGCTGCAAAGCCAGATATTAAGTACCTCTATCTTACCCTCAATAAACCATTGAAGGATGTAAGGTCGGAGATGAACCGGAGGGAATTCGAAGCTACGTAAGTGATATGCCTTGAATTGGAAGCATAAAGTTAACCATGAAAAGGGAAAGCCAGTATCGCACCCAGTTCAAGAAATGGGGCCCGAAATGGATCAAGAACAGCAAAGTGGAAGATATGGAAATGCTTTCGGTTTTGGTAGAGCAGAGAAAGGGTGATGGTAAAGAAAGCAATGTCTTCGAATGGGGCAAGCTCCTAGAGAAGGGGGAGGTAAAGAAGAGAATCTCGAAGAGTACTCCCAACACTCTCCGACGATTAGAACTTATCGGTAGGTTACATGAACTCGTCGAGTAGATGACTTTGATGCTTATTAGACATACATAGGAAACCCCAAACTTCCAGCACAATTCGTTGTCCGAACGCCAATGGAGGATCGTACCTTCTCACTTACTCATGATCTTCCCTTTTTCCAATTCGAAAAAGCCATTTGCGATAACACGTCGGCTTCTAATCTTGTTCCCAACATGATGGTCGACCCCCGACTTCTCACAGACCAACAAGCAGCCCCCGCAAACGCCCTGGTACTACGGCAGAAGAGCATCGAGGATGCCTCCCAGTATTATAGTTCCGCGGGCGAGATTATTCTCACCACCGATACCGCGGCTCTAAACGCTTTGGGCTCCATCATCCCCTGTATGGTCCACCAGACACCTGTCCTTGATCCGCCGTTATACCGCCAAATCCTACACTCCGCCGGGAACAACTTCTCTGGGCTTAGTTCCTTTCCAGTTGAACAGATCTTGCAAATTCTCAAGGCAACTACTAGTACAGACCTCTACCCACTGATTCTTTCTCCGTCAAGACATTCCAGCCGCTACTCCGCTCGTTCTATTGCACTGAGCCTTCTTAAGGGGGCTATCGAAACAGGAGATTCGGTAACTGCGAAGGCTATACTTTCGAACAAGTCTTTGGCGATTGATGTCAATCGACAAAGTTACTTCACTTGGGGACGTCAATATACCCTCATTGAAAGAGCCTCAACATTACGGCACAAGAACCTCATTGATGTTCTATTAAACGAAGGCGCAGATGTAAACAAAACATACCAATGCAATAGCTGTTGTGGGCTTGCTCGCTCACGGATATGTTACTTCTTGCATGGCGCATTGCAACACGCGATTGACGGATATAATTTTATGAGGTCTAGGTCCGAAATGGATACTGAAATTATCCAGATGCTACTAGATGCTGGAAGTTCTGTCCAGTTGAAGACGGTTGGCGAACTCTTCAGACTGGGACAGGATGGCATAGCTCTCCAAGTTGCCCCTAAGCTTTTATTAACAGGCAAAGGGTTAGCTCATGAACTAAGGCATGCGATCACACATTTTGATAAAGATATCCTAGTGCATCTTTTTCACATTTTACATTACAAAGGCATAGATCTTACGCATAAGGGTATATTTGTGGCAGCTATCAAGTCAATGGATAAGGAGAAGGCCTGGGTATTAGCCGAGGCCTTATTAGACTGCGGTGCGTTTCTTGATCCTGCTGTTCTGCGCTGTCTTGTTCGGAGGGTTCTATACGCATTTGCTAGAGATAAATCTGGAGTCCGTATTGCAGAACGCATACGGGGTATTAATACTCCCGTAGAGACAGCAGTTGCAGATAAACTTGACATCTTGTGCACCAGATGGATAGCGGCAGTCAGCAAAGTTGATACAGAGCTTATCATAGAGCTGATTGAGGAGTTGAAGAACTTGAATATTCCAATCACAACCTTCAAATTTTTCTACCACGCTCTCATGGAGGTATCAAGGGTTGGAGATTACGAGGCTGCGAGCATGCTACTTAATCACATTATACAGCTTGACTTACGGATAGGTAATCAGGTCTTTCATGACGCGCTTTCTGAGGCTATTCGAGGAGGTAATGAAAGCCTTATAGAATTAATTCTTGAGCTTAACTCCAAGCCATACATTAAAATACGGGATTATCATGAGGTGGTAGCTGCTCACTACATGCTCGAAGTCCCCACCAACCCAGAATCTCTCTATCCTACTAGGGAAGCTGAATTCACGTCATTTTTTGATATTGGGGATAAAAGCGTGGATAAAAGCGTGGTAATACTTGCGGCTTCGCTAGGTAAGGAGGCGATAGTTCGGACTTTGTTAACGTCGGGACAACAGTGCGACCTCAATAGTGCCATAGATGCGAATAATATCTGGCTAGCATCATTGCTACTCGAAGAATATTCAGGTGTAGTCAACTTGAATAGCTTTGAATATTGCATTCGACATCGGAACCTCGATATGGCCAGACTACTCATTTCCTATGGCGCAGATCCCCATGCATCATGTACGGTCATTCAAAGGAGTCAGTCGGAATGTAGACCACTTTTCGAACTATTCTTTAAAGCAAACGACGATGTATGCTACGGGAAAAAACAACGGTCGATGTCGTGCGCATTTGCTAGTGTTATTCGGAGTCGTGACGAATCTGGAGTAAAATACTTATTGGATCAAGGGGTTGATCCAAATAAATTCCTTCACCGCGAGAAATGTGCCGACAAGAATTATAGCCCTGACGGCGCCATAAGCCCATTTGGAGAAGCGATTGGCGTGAGCCGAACTGGGAGCTTGTCTTTGGTAGAGCTGTTCTTGAAGGCTGGTTGCGATCCTAACGGCATAGTCGCAGAGTCATCATTCGACCCCCAGTGCAAGCTTTATATCGCAGTTCCTCGAAGAATCACAGCTTTCCTTGCAGCTATTGGCACAAGAAATATTCAAATGGTGGACTTATTCATGCGGAATGGTGCCATCATCAATCCCACTATGACCGGTAGTATTAAACGTACGCCGTTGCAGCGGGCGGCCGAGATTGGATGCTTTGAGATGGTAGAGTTGCTGCATAACTTTGGCGCCGACATCAATGCACTGCCGACCGTTAATGGTGGCGCGACCGCCCTCCAACTGGCTGCGATCGGCGGCTATAATCGCATAGTCTGCTATTTGCTCAGTCACAAAGCCAATGTCAATGCCCCGGCGGCCATGCTTAACGGGATGACAGCTCTCGAAGGAGCTGCTTTTTGGGGGCGGACGGATACAGTACATATACTCTTAAAGGCGGGCGCAGCATCGCGCGGTAAAGATCGCTCGCAGCTCCAGAAAGCAATGAAAATGGCACGCGAGGAGGGCCATTTCCCGACAGCCGATTTAATCCAAGACTGGCCTAATCTAGAGGACGATGGAGAGTTACGGATGCTTGATGAAGTCGAAGAGTTCAGCGACTTCATAGATTGGGATGGAGAGGCCTAGATGGGTAATCACCTCAGAGAGTTGTCATGTTGAGGTTTGTTCAAGTCCAATAAAGATTATTATCGGTGCCAGCATGTAACCTGTTTTAGTTGGCGGATTCTTCAAAATCGGAGCGGAGAACGTTGCGAAATGTTCTGTATCTCAATGTCTTTCATATACCGTTCATTTCCATTGAAATGGGCCCCCCGAATCCATCATTCTGTCCAGAACGCTGCGCAGACCTGCATAACCGGCTGCTGGCAAAGTCGATTGAGCGTCTCCCCGCGCGACGGACCGAGAGGAATCTCGTAGCGCGATTCTTAGACGCCGTTTATATATCAGCCGGATCCGACGATTTTCTGGACCGAACCTTTCGAGGACGAGCCGTCCTTCATCCTGCTTTATGGACAGAACAGCAGTGACGCACCTATGGATGGTGGCATTTTTCTTGATATAGTGTCATATAAAGCTGTATGGCATGAAAGGGACTTCCTTAACTTCCCACCTGCTGACCAATAGTTGCCGCTGGAAGTTTTACTTCAGAAGTCACTTGATGCCTGGGAGACGGGTAAGTTTTACTGGGACGTTGGACCGGCCTCTATGGGTCACAATTAGCCATTTCGATACTATCGCGTAGATAGAACCCGAAAGAGTGAATAGGTACTTGTCAGATTATACCTGAGTACCTAATGTAAGGTAAGGTCTGGTGAAGACGATTGTTGGCTTGTGAATTCAGATGGAGGATGACTTGAATGAGTTACTTATGAGCATTGATAAGTGATAACGTAAATTACAGGTCAAAGGCCCACACGGGTTAAAAGCCCACGCTAATATAAAATACCACCTTTTATCTTAAATCATACATTATTTAATTAAAATAAAATGTCTTATTAATTAAAAAAGATTAAAATAAATCTAGCGTTTAACGTTATATAATATAATAAAAAACTTAATATTAAACGCGTTACGCGTATATATAATATTATTTTTATAATATTACGCGGTAAAATTAATAATTAATAATTACGCATTAATATTATCCGTCGGAGACATTTTTTACGTTAAAACTCTTGGAAATTATTATGCGAAATTAATAAAAAAATAATAAAGAAATAATAAAGAAATGATAAATAATTAATAAATAATTTATTAATAAATGATAAAAAAATTAATAAAAGATTTGATGTTTCCGACGGATTCTCACGTGCGAGCCTGCAAGTACGTGAAAACGCTTGCGCGAACTTACGAGTACATGCGTTTTCTTAAATTTTAAAAATATAATAAAAATTAATTTAATATAAAAAAAATATTATTATTAAACGTATATTTAAATTAAATATTTAAATATTCCCGCTTTAAATTATTTATATTAAAAAAATAATTAATATATTATTACGTAAATATAATAAAAAACACGTTAAAATTAATTAAATAATAATTTTTATATAATAATAATTATAATTTAAAACGCGTTTAAATTATTAAATTAATTATTAAAAAATCTTTTATAAAAATTTTATTATTTATAAAATTTAATTTAAATTTATAATTAATATAATAATAAAATATAATATTTTATTTAAAAATATATATAATTTTAATAAAATTAAATTTATAATAAATATAATAATTATAAAAATAATTATAATAAATTTAAAATAATATTTTAAATTTTATTAAATTTAATTTAAAAATTATAAATAATTTATAATTATTTAAATAATTAATTTTTAAAGTTAAATTATATTATTTATTAAATTAATAATTACGTAAAATTAATCACGTGTCACCACGTAATTAATTTACGTATAAAACATTACATTATTTTAATTAATTTATATACACGTAATTTATTAACTTTATTAATTATAATACATTTAATAATATAAAAATATTTACATACACGTCGTACGATATATTAATTAATTGTACGATAATATAAAAATCAACCAACATTAATTAATATCGGTAAAATTATAAATCAATAAAGTTAATAAAAAACGTTTACGGAAACCGCTGGCGCACGGATGGAGCCTAATATTTACGTACGGCGTACGCAAATACCTTCACGCCAAACTAACAGGAGGCAACCCCATTGGCTTGCACAATAGCCCTGAGTTTACGAACAAAGCCAAGCTGCCAGGCCAACCGATTGATTTGATTGGTTGAATCCCTAATGTGGCCGCCCTGCCTCGCCGCGCTGGGGGTCACGGGCGCTCGGCACGTGCTTCGC